TCCAAGTTGAAAGAAAAAAAAAGAAAACTGAAAGCAGAGAGAAGACAGTTGATGGAAGAAGCCACGAAAATGAAAGAGATTGAAAAGGAACAGTCAATTAGCGAGTCTAGGGAGAGAATGGCCAGCGTGACTGAGTCACAGAGTCCCATCGAAGCCGTGTACAGCCCTTTACCCCCCACCAAAGAGGACGGGCTGCTGGATCTGTTGGCGGAACACGAAAAAGGGGCGGAAAAGGAAGAAAAGGCAGAAGAAGAAGAAGGGGGAGATGAAGATGAAGAAGAAGAAGAAGAGGAGGAGGAGATCAACGTTGATAAGAAGTTTAAAACTTCGGAAGGTGAGGCTGAAATTATTTGACGAATGAATGGATAAATGAAAGAAAAGATGGATGGATGAATAGATGAATGAATGAATGAATTAATTAATTAGTTAATTAATTGATTAATGGATAGATGGATGGATGGATGGATGAACGGACGGACGGATGAATGGATGGTTGCATGGATGAATAGATGATTAAGCAAATGATTAATTTTATATATATGGATAGATGGATGGATGGATGGATGGATGAACGGACGGACGGATGAATGGATGGTTGCATGGATGAATAGATGATTAAGCAAATGATTAATTTTATATATATGGTATGACCAAATGGAACAAAAAATGAAGGAAAAACAACTGGATGGCAGATTGGTTGTTGAAAAATGTTTTAACGACAGTGCGAACAATTATGTGGTTATACACAAAAATCGAAGGAATGAATGAATAAATAAATAACACATAGATTCTTTCTTAATTTTCATAGACTAATTTAATTTCTATATTAAGTAACTAACTGAACAATTGATTAAAAAATGAAATCATATGAAAAATAAATCAACCAACAATTATTTTATTAATTTCAAAACCAATCCACACCAGAAATAATGATGAAAAATCACTTCCTATTCTTCTACAATGACGACGAAGTGGTTCTTGACGAGGACAAAATAATCGAAGAATTTAGCGACGAAAGCGACGACGACGATGATGACGTCAATGTTGATTTACTAGACCTTTCATCTGAAGATGAAGACGGCGATGAAGAAGCCATCGAAGATGAAAAACCCGACAAAATTATTCACCAAAAACCGGCTTCCATATCGTCAGAGGTTGACAAATTGAAAGATTCGTACGAACAGTTGAGAAAAGAGGGAGCTGACGCTTTAAGAAATGATGGCGAAAATAATGACGTAGATGATAGTAAGTATGATGAAGAAGAATTCGAAGAAGAGGAGGAACACGACGACGGCGACGTTGATGGTGCCGGCGATGACGAAGGGGTGAGAGAAATTAGAGATCTAGTTTCAGCCGATGTTAAAAAAGACGATACATTCATTGAGGATTTAATTTCTAAGACGGTTGATCTTTTCAAAAATGGCACAGAAGTGACGGTGGTGAGCCAAGATGCATCGAGAAATGTTTCGAAATACGGTGACGAAGACGACGAGGAGGAAGAGGAGGAGGAAGATGAGAAGGAGGAAGAAGAAGAAAGTGATGACATACATACTCAGGATGATTTAAATTTGGGGAAAATGAACGACGGCTTGGAGGGCCGTCAAGCGCTTGCATTAGAAGAATTTGCTTTAGAAGAAATTATTCTTGGTCATGAACTCGATCAAAACAAGTCAGAAAACTGAAATTTCGGTCGATAAACTGACGATCCAAAATGCATGAAATGAATGTTACGCATGTTCTATTTTTTTAAATGTTTTGGAACGTTTCATCTTTTTTTCTGTTTTAGCTTTAGTGATTTTCTATTATAACATTAATGTAAAACTCATTTTAACTATGTTCTAGCATTAATTTTTGAGATGTTCATATCAGTTTTAAATAGATTATAAACGTTTTTCTGGTATTATACGGTCCTCAACGAATTAATGGATTGTAACCAATTTTTGTAAGCAGTTTGTGATTCCATTTAAGTTTTAATTGAATCACTTTTCAGTGAATGAATTAGAATAAAATTTCGCAATTTTTAGGAAAATAATTCTTAAATAACGGTGAAAGCATAATTTTAACATGAATTACATATACATATTATAGCAGATGTAAATTATTGTTAATTAATATTTAAAAACTTATTATAACTATTATATATTAATATTATTGATTTAATGTTAATCTCTCAATCATTTCAAGTTGCTCTTTCTCCACTTTCTGAAGGGACCTATACTGCTCTTTCAATCTGTAATATATAATAATAATTATTATTATTATTTTAATAAATTTAATAATAATTAAAAAATAATAACATTAATAATCGATTCAATTATGATAATTCATAATTCTATCATAAATAATGTTATCTATATTTTATTTTGTATCTTTTCTTCCCTAGCCCAGACACTCATTTGTTCAAACAAATAGCTGAGATCCAAAGATACCAAATAAGATTAAGATATCAAAACACAAAAAAACATTGTATATACCTCTCTAATTCCATTTTTCTTTCAAGGATCAAAGATTTGATTTGCTGCTGCTGGGCCTCCTTTAGTTTTGTGACTGATTTCAGTTTATTGCGGGAACCTATTGCCTAATAATCAAAATATAAATGTTATATATGTTTTTTAGATGAAAAAATTACTGTTAATTTATTTATATTTTATTAACAACAAAAAATAAATACATGAAATAAAATAAATATATCAAATGTAATAATGAGTCATTCATAAATTTTAAGTTTAAATAAAAGTATGTGACTTCGAATTTCTTTTTGTTGACGGCATTTGCAATAGTTTCTAAAGATTTTGAGAAGTTGGATGTGATCGACTGAAACTGAGACAGCTCTGTGTTGTAATGAATTATTTACAAATTATTAAAAAATCATATAGCCTGATCTTATAACTAATGATAATAGAATAGTTCATAAAATTTAGCAAACTAAAAAAATATTCAAAATTAGAATTAAAAACTAGCAACCATCTGACAAAATTATTCTCTAAACTAAAACCTATGAAAAAAGATAAAGAAGGGCTAAAACAAGTAAAAATAATCGTTAAATGTACAAGAAGAGCCAACTGTTGATGAAATCCTTGCACTCTTCATTCAATTCCGAACTCTGACTACTAACTTCGGGTTGCAAAATTCTCAATTTGTTCAAATCGTCGAAGTGGAGACCAGCTTTCGATAAAGATTCGTCTGCCATTTTTGTTTATTGAGTTGACGTTGTTATAGCAACGCAAAATCATAGTTTACGATATTTATACAATTTGTACAAATAAATTTTATATTTAAAATAATTAAAAACTTTTATGTTTTTTTTTGTTACGTTTAAATAATATATTTAAATATTTGAAATTTGTTGGTGTAAAAAAGTTTTTTTATTTTCTGCATTGTTTACAAAGTTCAATTTTAGTTATTTAGTTATCGTCCGCTCAAATTTTCGTGTTGAAACATTAAAATCATTCGATGATTATTGTTGAATATTTAGGCATTTTATTCTTATTAGAAACGTTTTGAGAATTTTCATCTAAAAAACAAAATAATTTAAAATTGTAATTTTAGTTTTTTTTATTTTTGAACCAACTGGCCCTGACTGACCTGGCAACAGTGTAAAACCACATTAAATATATAAAATGAACAAACTGAAACTAACATAACATATTATACTACTTAAAAACATACGAAATAGATTTAGTTAGTTTTAATTTAATATCAAAATTATTAAAGTTTCAACAAAAACAAAAGATATGAAGAAAAATATGCCATCCGTTGAATCAGATGATGAAGACATGTTTCAGGAATTCGCCGAAAGTGACAAAAGCGTTTCCTCGTTTTCAGACTCGGCCGTTAGTGGTTCTGAAGATGAAGATAGTGGTGAGAAGCTGCTCAGTTTTTCTCTTCTATTTTGATGATTTAAATTTTTAAAGTTTAAAAACTAATTCATAAAGAAAATGTTTCTTTTGTAATGTTTCCTTATTGGTCTTTTAATAATTAATTAAATTATTAACAGAGTTAGCAGTAGCAACCCATTAATAAATGTGACAGCTTTAAATTTTAACCTAACAGATGTTGATGAGTTTGAAAATGAACGCCGACGAACAGACTGCATCAAGTTGATGTCCGACCTCGAAAATCAATTTGTTCGGTTGAAAGAACAGTTAGTAGTTCATTTTCTTATTAACTAATAATTTAACATTCAGAATTGTATTGTCAACTACCAAGACTACTTCCAATTTATCATCTCAGTTCACTTTTAGTTTTCAAAGTTTAAATGTTGTTAATGGTTTTTTTTCTTTAGCTTATTTCGAGACAAATCCTCACAAGTATCAAAAAAGTTGGAAGAAGTTAAAAATGGCACTGCCAAAGAATATATAGAACCTCTATCTAGACTAGAAGGCAATTTGAAAATTAAATTACAAATAGCAGGTGCTACCTAATTCTGCTTTTTTTAATTTATTTTATTGAAAATTTTTTTCTTCAACAATTTTTTTTACAGAAGTTAAGTTTGAACTTCAAAAAAAGAACTTGCTAAATAAATGTGATGGTGAAAAGCAGGCGGCCAATCAAAACTATGAGGTGCTCTATGTTTATAGATGACCAAATTTATTCAATAATTATTCTACTATTTTTATTATGTTTTTTACTTTATGTCTGTTTCTTACGACTACATTACATTCCTTCAAAATCATCTTTTCTGTTATGTTTTTCCAAAATTATTTCAAAATTTTTGTCTATATTTATTTATTCTGTAAACAATTTGATAATTCAGTGTGAAAAGAAAAACCTCTATAGCAACTTACAGCAGGAACTGGAGAACAAAATACATCAACTCAAGCAGGACCACCACAACACTGATATCAACCAATGTAAGGCCACACTTATGTTCTATATATATATATATATATTTCTCCCAATTTTTTTCTATTTCTCTTTTTGTTTTTTATTCTTTTCTTCTCTGTCTATTAGTCTGTCTGTCTGTCTATCTGTTTACTTATCTACCTATCTATCTATATTTATCTCTCTTTCTCAATCTATCAATTCTTCTCATGCTTATATATAATATATATATATACTATGTATGCATAAATTATGTTAATTTATTTAATTTATACACTGTCTTTAATTATATTTATGAATTGCTTATGTTATTTTATGCCACGCCATGTCCATGATGCCTACCAGCTGTGGAGAACCAGGCCTCTCGTAAGAAGAAATTAAATTCAATGACATCAGAACGAAAAAAAAAGCCGGTCGTTGTCTCAGATATCCTTGTGTTTTTTTTTTTTGTAAAGATAAAAAAGAAATAGTGACTTTGATGTTATCTTCAAGTTGTGTCTGAGTTGTATCTTTGGGGTTTCACCTGTTATATATCTAAGTTGTATCTTTGGGCCTTTACCTAATATACCTAAGTTGTTTCTATAGGACTTCACTCAAAGTTATATCTATGTTGTATTTTTTGGGCTGGTCCTGTTTATATATCTAAGTAGTATCTTCATGGCTTCACTATTATATATCTAAGCTATATCTATTTTGTATCATTAGAGTTTGATCTCTTATATATCTAAGTTGTATCTAAGTTATATTACCTTATTCAAAGCTTCTCTGGCTCTTCCACATATTATTCTACCTTATTTCAGCCTATTATCCCTAACCGTCATTTCATTGTGTGCATGATTCTCCGGTTTTTCCATGTTGGGGTTTTACCATATTTGGTTTTACCATGTCTGATCTTACCATTTGCATGCGTGTACGGCCCTATATTGTGTATATGCTGAAAGAGTCCCAGATATTAGAAGATTACACAGCCGTCAAAATGGCGTTAAAGCAAAGACAAAATGGTCAGTTTATAATTTGTGGTTTAGGTATTATGTTATAATTAAAAATTGTGATTGATGTAACATTTATTCAATTATAATTGATGTGAAATTATAGTTAGTATGGTAATTAATTAAAAATGTTAATGTGATGTTAATGATGGCTCTGTTAGTATATACGAATAGTGCTGCTAAAGATTATTTATTGATCTTTAGCTATAAAGTTTTTGATCTAATTTTAAAATGAATAATTTTCAAGGGTTGACTAAATTTATAAAAAAATCTTTTTTTTGCAGTTTCGCCTTTGGATGATAATATGTTCAGTTATGGCCACGAAAATGGTCAGTAAATAAATTTTTTTCGTTACTCTTTTATATTTTATTTTTTCACTAAAAGATTAGGTGACTTGTATTTTGGAACATCTTGCATGTTCTACTGCTGCCGCTATCAGTAATGATTTTGATTAATTTATTTAGTTAATTTTTTATTCAATTTTAATTAAGTTCACAAGTTTAATATAAATTTAATCATTTGTTATTTGAAATTTCAGGTTTGATCTGATTTTTACAAGGGACAAGAAGAAGGTCATGTATTGTATCTGAGACATTAGATAATATTTCATTTAACCGTTAAAACTGTTGCATTTCCATTGCGATACATTAATTTTCAATTTATTTTAGTTTATTTGTTTCATTTTTTATTAAATACTTTTGAAAAATAAGGCCTGGGAAGTTTTTTTGAGAATTTTTTTTTTAATAAGTATCAGATTAACGAAAATTTTGACATTGATTAGTGTGTTTCAGTAAAGTTTAATTTAGATTACAACCGTAGGATTGCTCAACTTTGGCGTAATTACAGTTAATCCTTCGAATTTAGGCCATAACGAAAGCCGAAATAAAATAAACTCATTTTAGTGTTTAAGTTTCTTTGTTGTTTTGGTTAGCAACGAGCTTTGATTATCGTCAAGTGGTTTTCGCCCTTATATAAATTGAATGGATTTCAAGAATGTTAGTTCAGTAAGTTTTATTAATCACTTGAATTTTTTTATTCTTCATTAGTGATTAGTGATTTGTTTTATTTGTCTATTCTATATTTATATAGCACTTGAGGTTAACCTACCAGCTGATAATCATTTTCAACTCGTTCTATTTCCTAGCTTACTTTTTAACTGAAATCGTCATCTACATTGCAAAAGGTTAATTAATTATTTATTGTTTGTAAATAGCGAAGTATTAAATATAATTTTTTTTATTTTATATATTTTTCGTAAGTTTTTTAATGAGATATGATGTTACTTAGGTATAACTGTTCCATACTTGTACCGTGCTGATGGCTTGTTGACATCTGAAATCTGCCTCCTCGTTTCATTGTTCTTCTTGGAGTATGTAAGATTATACTTGGGTATGTTTTATTATTATGACATTCTATTTAATTATTTTTCTGTCAATAATTACCAAAAATAGTCATTATATTTGTGGTTTATAGTTCAATAATTACAACAATCATGATTCAGGTTATAAAGGAAACTTAACAGAGAACAAGAAAATATTGATTCTAAGTGTCGTATTCTCATTACCGTCATTTTTTGGCTGCCTTTACATTGCAATTTGGCAGACGTTGATATACAAACTGGAAGTCATTATTTCTTCTGTTCAATTAGTTTTCATTTGCGTTGGAATAGTCATGTGTTTGATAGTTTAAAAATTCGATTACAAGCACGAATGCGAGTTCTGATTGAGTTTATTTTTGAAGCAATATTAACAAAGTTTAACTTTAAATCCACTTTTCGCATATAGAGAAGCATTAAAAACGCAGTAGATTTCAACGATTTCAGCCAATGACGTTCAAACTCGTACCTTAAATTTTATAATTATAGAGATGGCTCGTCTTAGTCGGTAATTATGCTAAGCTTTAAAAAGTTTTACATCCTGTTTTCGATCATTTTATTTTTAAAATTATTTTTATAAATAAATAATTTAAATTTTGCTGTAAGTTGTTAGAGTTTTAGGTTGAACAAACAAAAAAAATAAAAAAATTATAATCAGTTTACTCGATTACCGACGAGTTCGGTAAAGAGGTCCAATCATTGTTTGCCTTTTAAACTTTGCCGTGTCGTTGATTCTTCATTTCGTCGTACGTGTACATCAAGTTCTTCTTGAGGGTGTAACTTTAAGTCCACGCTAAACTAAATGTATTAGTGTTTATTTATTTAGTATTTATTCAATTAATAATAATAGTCTTACTTCTTACATAGTCACAAAAATGAATTTCAAATCGTCTCATCTCTATCATCAATGCTCCTGCTTCTTGGTCATTCTCATCATCGACCTCGTTATCGCGGCCAGTCTGAAATACTACGACATTTTGGGCGTCAAAAAGACCGCCACCGATCAAGAAATTAAAAAAGCTTTCAGGAAACTGGCTCTCAAGTATCACCCGGATAGAAATAACGATCCCGATGCTGAGTCAAAGTTTGTTGAAATCGCCCAAGGTAAAGTTCATTTCATTTTTAATTTATTGTTTATTCTCATTGTGATTGTATTCATTTATTTATGTTATGATCATATTTATTTTGCTTGTTTGAATGTTCGATCTCAATATTTTGTTGATGTGTAAATTGTTAAGTTAGAGATATTTTATTGTAATATAACATATCCGTCAAATGAACATAGAATAAACAAGGATTAAAATTTGAGCTAACTAAACTAAACCATGTAGTAAAATAATCTGCCTTGCTTATTTATTCAGCTTATGAAATTTTGGGTGATCCTCAAAAAAGAAGAACGTATGACATCCACGGGGACCCAACGACAGGGGACACTGGAGGGGGAGGTGGAGGACACACCCATCATCATCATCATGACTTCAACTACAAAGAATTTTTCCAAGGTTTGTAATGTTTAGTAATTCAAATATAATACTGTATGCTATAGCATAGCCCTATGTATTTGCTTATTTAATGTTATGCAACCTATCCAGATTACTAACTATTCAAATAATAATTAACAATATACATGTTTGACACACAAATTTGTATGCAACCATGTCTAACAAAATGGAAATAAAATTTTTAAAAATTAATTTCAGGTTTTGATGAAGCCTTCAAGATGCACCAGCAACGACACAACAAGCAGCACTTTAGAGCCCACTTCAGAGCCCACAAATCGGCATTCCCCGACGGATTCTTCAGCAATCTTTTCGATGATTTTGACTCTGGCGACGAAGAGGAGATGAACATCTTTGGTAATCACTTTGGCTTCAACGGTCACCACTTTGGCTTTGATGACATGGGTAATGTTAATAAAGCTGCCTCCAGTTTTGCCTCCAGTTACTCATCAAGCAGCAGTAGTAGTAGCGGCGATGTTCACTCGTACCAGGAGTCAAAGAGTAAAATTTTCTTTCTTTTCATTTTTTTACAACTCTCACTTCAACATTCCTCAAATCTATCAACAACAAACACATATTGTATGCAATTTAGTGCATGGTGCACATTGCATGTGATAAGCCTGGATCTTTATGCTATTAAACCTGGTTTCTGCAACAGCACTGCCAGGCACTTTAGCCATTCCACCATCGTGTCAACCAGTTTGCTAGTGTTTTTTTTTCATCAAAAAAAGTCTCTTTATACTAGTATTATAGATTTAATTATAACTAAAAATCATGATTCACCATAATTAATTAATTATATTTCCAGTGATAATAATTATGATAAATTATGTTTAAAAGTTAAAATAATTTTTTTATTATAGCGGAAGGTGGTTGCACGACGACAACCATCAAAAGAGGTAACAGTGTTTCTACACAGACAGTCTGCAGGACAGTGTCGTAATCATCGTCGTCGTCATCATCGTCGTCATCATCATCATCGTCGTCATCATATCGTTCATACTGCTTATTGCCCATTATCTGAATTATGTGTTTTTGGATTTGTTTGTGTGTCTGCGTGTGTGTGTGCGCGCGTGTGTGTTCTATTTTTTTGTGTCTTTCCAGATGAAGTGTTCATCATTAGAATGTACATAGAGACTTCTTATCATTATTTGTATTTAACATCATTTCTATCATCATCATCTTTATCAAAATCACAACATCACCGTTTTCATTATCCTTATGGTTGTGTCTCTTTTCTCTCCCTCCCCCCTCTCTCTCTCTCTCTCTTTCTCTCTCTCTCTCTCTTTTTCTCTCTCTTTATACTTACATAA